AGAATCTAGTACACAGCCAAGCCTTGGTAACAGAGAGTCCTGTAATATCGATTATAAAAAGAACGGTATCAATCTAAAATGAAAGAAACAGACATTTTCAAAAAAAAAAATAACCCAACAAACACCTTGCCTCACATCAGCTTACTGATCAGAGATCTAAACAGCTGAGCAAATCTCATGTTTTCTCGCATCGCACCAGGGCTACTACAATCCCAGCTGACAACCACAGCCGCAGCAGCGAGGGGTGTCTCGACTGTCCGCGTCTCAAGGCCTGTAACCCGGCGGCGGCAGTGCGGTCCTTCACTCTCTAAAAGTACCGGCTGCCTATTGGGGAGCGACACTCAGTGCTCGGTGCTCGTCTCCCGAGCTTAGAGCTGTGACGGCGGTCTTGGATTGGGACAGCTGTCTTGGGGAGGTGGGGCTGGGACAGCCCTGTTTGGATTACAGGTGGGGGCAGGCCTGAGACAGTCCGCCTTATCTATGGGTTACAGGTATGCCGAGCGCCAGTAACTTCACAAAATCTCGTTAGAACCAAAATCCTGCAGTATGTGCGCAAGGTACATACCTATAGCACTTGCATCAGCAAGGTCGTAAAACAAGCCATGTCGTATTTTGCGACCAGCCATAGGTATGCTACGTCCAGAACGTCAGACTTTGACGATCGTTTTACCACAGCCGCGACCAAACTTAAAGGCGACCTCTTATACATATCGCACTTTTAATTTTCACTAATGATACATCTAGAACGGCACTCATCCTCTTTCCCTTGGCTGACGTATATATTTAGAGCTAATGCAACACATCAAATAACGCGATGAAACTGTTTGAACTGAGCGCGCTCTCACACGCAGATCTGTCACACACTTCAATCGTTCCTACACGTTCTAATTTGTTATTCTTTCCATCGAAGATTTTTATTAATAGATTCGAGCGTGTGAACGAATCTGAGTGCGCGCACAGTGTAAATAAATACACGTTTTAGCGCTGCTCATCAATTAACCTTCATTCCTTACGGGTTACGTTTGATGTGGGGGTCCATTAGCCCCAATCTGACGACGCGCCTCTCCGGCAGCCCCAGCTCAGGGGGGGGGGGGGAGGGTGCTGCCGTCACTGAGCCGTCCGGCCAGTGAGGTAACACCGGCAGCCGGAGACACTCTGCAGTCACTTCACTGTTCGGCCCTCTGCAATGGTCAGCGCACCACCGAGCAAAACAAACCGATCCAATCGCGTCTCCGCCGTTCACCCCATGCTGACTGCCGACGACAAACGAGTCCACACAGCGGGCCCCGAACACCTGCGGTGTCTCCGATGCTACATTATGAGCCTACCACGTCTGACAGCATCGGGAGGGGATCCGCCACTGGCGACACTGATCTCCAGTCTCCACCCAGCTGCCCGGCAGTGCGGCTTCATAGCACGCCAATGATGGGCTCCTGCACTGACGGGCAGGTAGCGTAGGGTCAGGATCACGAATCACAGTTAGTGACAGCATGTGTTAAACTTAAAGCGCCTGTGTAGAAATGTTGAAGTGGAACTCTATGTTAGACAGCGAAGCTGTCACTGTCAATGTGAGATAAAAAGTCACTTTTGAAAGACTAAGGGTAAAAAGACAATAGGAAGACTTTATTTATTCCCAGTTAACCCTCGCCGGACCTGTTGGTTTTCTACATACGCGCCGGCCGAGGGGGGGGGGGGTACGACCCCCCTCGCCGTTTCGCCCCTGGTGGAGCTAGCGCGTCGCGGAAAAAACGAGCGTGTGCGCCGTTACGAGACGCAGAGATTGGTACCCGATTTTAAGGTCCTAGGTCAACCGGTGACCTCTGAGGTCAGGTCAAGTGCCCCAAGGTACGGTTCAGTTTTTGGTGAATAACTTCGCAAAAAACGGTCGCAGAGCCGCGATTTTGGCAGCATCGTGTTCGCCTCGCTCAGGCGCGTCGAATAATATACTTTTTGTTCGGGTCAGGTCAACTTAGGGTGTTGACCTCAGGTCAAGGTCAGGTCAGCACCCCCAGGTCACGAAATTGGTCGAAAGAGGTCATGTTGCATATCATTCGATTCGGCAGGTCTTCCTGAGTCCATCGGTGGTTTTCCCGACTCGCTAGCTCAATTTGATCGGGAGTTATTGACGAAAAACTAATATGACCTTGATGACGTCATAAATGACGTCACGCAAGGTCAACATTGCAAAAGTGACGCATCTTACCTTGCAAGGAGTGCATCAAATCACGATTCTGTGGGCTTGAGATAGTTGGAGATCGTTCCCGGCGCCAGAACAGCAGTTTTCATTTTTCCCCATTGACTTATAATGGTGAGGTCACGAAATTGGCCTGACCTCATATGACCTTTAGGAAAAATCCGAGATATACAAGTTGTGAGACTGATAATGGATGCTAGATCCTGCAAGTTTCATTTCCCTGTGACATTTCCTCTGGCAGTGAGGGAGTTGCGAAGTTGCGACATCTGAAGACCGTGCAGAGGTTCACTTATGACGTCATAGGTCAGTGACCTGACCTGACCCAAAAATGCGGTTGATGTCAAAAGATCCGGCTAGAATTAAAGGTCAGGTATGCCAAGTTTCAGCTCTCTATCGCCAGCGTGTTCGGAGCTATCGCGAAAAAACCCTATGGGAGGGGCACCCCCCCCCCCCTCGGCCGGCGAGGGTTAAGCCATAAGCGTTATGACTTTCGTAATGATCTTGTCACCAGTTTCTATGCAGGTTACCCCGTTTCAATGAGTCATACCACACAAACATTGATTGACAGAGGAACAAATGCTGCATTTTCTCGCGCATGCCAATATTTGCCTTGCCCCAGCCATCCGCTAGGCTCACCGCAAACATCTCAATTCCGCCCCGAGTGATCTAGCTCCGCCGCCTTTCTTCGCCTCGTCAGTTGGTCCTGAAGCCCCGCTCTGTTCCGTGCCGTGACGACGCACCTCGCGCCTAATGTGAGCAGCATCACGGACCGTGACTCGTCCGAAGCGGCCCTAACTGCTCGCCTGCGACCGATGACCGGGCCCCAACGCTGAATGCAAGGCGGCCCGGCCAGTAATTGCAAGGCTAACCATGTGCATGAGCTCCAGTGGCCTGGAAGCAGCATTTAACATGACGACTATCTTCCTCATCGAGATAATTGTATGTCAAGCATAAAAGACAGATGTGTGCTGACAGTGGTTGTGAGAGTTTCATGCAATAGCATTCGTGCAGCCAAATATTCTCTTTTTTTTTCTTACCAATGATGTTATACAGACCAGGAGCTACGTTAAAACTTGCAAGATAAACGCTTAACGATGAACGCACTTCAGCTGGCAAAATGACGTTTGAATTTTGATCGATAACAAGAGTGAGGTGATTTAACCCGCGCAGTGCTGGTGGTCTGAGTTTTTCGTGTCGTGCTGAGGGGAGGCGTTTTCACGCTCCCGTCTAACTCAGCTCCTGGGCCACGTGGCGACACGCAGTAAGCGGCATTCGAAAGAACGTCAAAAGTAATGAAGAAAGCACTCCAGTAATCTTTACGTCAGGCCAAAGGTCAGGTCATCGTAGGTCATCAAAGGTCAAACTTTGCCTATTTCAACAATTCTTTGAAACCCGGCGCATAACTCGGGAACCAATAGAGCTACAGCGCCACGAAAAGCACATTCGAAAGCTCTTTTAACGCTTTTCCGCTAACATGTACTCAGATTTGACCTCAGATCAACGGTTTAGCCTCCAGAGGGCAAAAACTCGAAAAATAGCCGTTTTTACGAAAAATGCTGTTCTGTAATAACTTTTTACTCCAGCGAGACACCACATTTCTTTTGCCAGCATCATGTTACTCTCGTCGAGACGCGTCGAATGAACTATAACTTGACCTTGAAAGGTCATCTTCAAAATTTCACTTCCGGTCAAGGTCATGACCTGATCGGAAAAGGTCATGTTGCATATCAGTAGAGCCGTATCGTCGAGGTGATCGCATCCGAGGTATTTTCACCGTTCTATCATGTCTTAATCAAAAGTTATTGTTAAAAAACTGTTAGGGACCTTTCATGACCTTTCATGACCTCAGGGGCACAAAGAGGGGTCATGAGTGCAATTTTCCGATTCAATCTGTCATGTTTACCCATAAAATGATGTTTGAGAATATTTAGAACGATGTTCATCCCAGAGAGGCTCATTTCAATTTTCTGCCATTGACTTGTAGGTAAAGGAGAGGTCGCAAAATTGACCTGACCTTAGGTCGCAGATATCAAAATTCCGAGATATTTTTTATATACATACTGTTACTCTAATCAATCGCTGAAGATTGAGTTCCGCCTCTGCGTCACCATATATTACGAGCTTAGCCCACAGTGGTGACAAACAACTTTTCTCGACTTCTTCAATAGAGTACCGCCCGTAGCTAGAACGATGACTAGCTGTTATAGGTGCGACTGAGGACATCCGGACGCAGCCAGGTCGTAAGAGGTCGTCATGACAATAGCGACATAGTGCTGCAAAAAGAGGGTAACACAAGCAAGATGAACTTGTTTGCAGTTTGCTGTGCACTGTGACTTGCATCTACTTCCAATGGGCAATAGTGTCTACATGAGCTTACCTTACGTTTAACGAGTACAGCTATCATTCGCAACAGTGTTTGATGAGAGAGCATTTGGGTTAAGAGGGCGCAGCCAGACCGATGTTGAAAAACATAGCCACAAAAACCGAAAACTAGTTTCCACTTCGGTATATTTTGAGCTTCAAACGATGCATGCGTGTTGACCTTTTCAAGCGGGTACAACGAATCAGCTGCGGGCGTGAAGAATCATATCACCAGACCTCGTTCTTATAAAAGCTAGTGAGAAGCCCCCCCCCCCCCAAAAAAAAAGTTTTAAAGCAACAAATATGAGGAGTCAAAACAAGGAACCAATTTACTTCTTCCGGATGGTTTAATTGCGAGTCATAAATAAATTTGAAAAGTCTGCGGCTACGAAGTATACCGTAAGGTTTGTCATAATTTCTCAAGAGATTTTTCACGCGCAATTCCAAAAATTTAAAATGGCTCCGATAAATTGAAAGTCTTTTTCGGAATAGGTTGATTATGGCCATGTGGTCACCATGAAATGGCCCTGGAATGGAGCGTCCGAGCAGAGAACTTCGAAGTACCCGTTCGCGCGTGCCGACATGCCCCTGTGAAGCTGAAGAGCCCACCAGAAAACGGCGAAAACGCTGCGTTACGGAGAAAAATCACGACGAACAGAAGCACCATTGCATGGCGGCCAGATACTCATCTGACGTGACAGAAGTGCTATCGGAATTGCGATCACAAAGACAGTTGTGTGACGGTGTGCTTCGAACTGAAGACGGGGGCGTTTTTTACGTGCACAGGGCAATTTTGGCCGTAGTAAGCCCCTACTTCAAGGCTTTGTTCATCAACAGTCTAACACAAGGCGACCCCGAAACAAGCGACGCTACGATACGGGATATTTCAAGTGATCTGCTCGGACTAATCGTAGATTATGCATACACGGGTGTTTGCAGCGTCACTCATGAAAACGTCGGACGTCTTCTCCCGATATCAGACCGCTTGGGAGTTTTAGGTGTCGTAGGTCAGTGCTGTGATTTTCTCATCAGAGAGCTCAAGCCCAACAACAGTCTAGGTGTTTGCAAGTTCGCCAAGGATTACCTCTGTGCTAACCTGGAGAAGGTAGCAAGAGATTATTCTCTGGTGAACTTCGCAGAAGTGATTCGGAAAAGTTCAGAACTAAAGGAACTATCTGCATCAGAGCTTGAGGGCCTACTTTCAGATGACAAGCTAAACGTCAAAAGCGAAAAGCAAGTTTTCGAGACAGTGGTGGCGTGGGTCGAGCACAAAACAGAGGAAAGAATACGCTGGCTTCCGTCCCTTCTGAACTGTGTCCGTTTTGGACTGACAAACTACCGGTACCTCTCCAAAGATGTCTGGAACCACCGTCTCATCGCAGAGAACCAGGTAAGTGCATTGGTACGGTAGAACCTGAGATATAAATCCTAACGTAATGCTAGAGTGTTTCGTAACAAACAGACACTGTTGTCAATAAATAAGCCCATGCTGTAACCAGAGGACTGACATTACAATTCATGTCGTTTTTAGGATGCTCAGGCCGCCCTGTATGGGCCATCCATCTTCTTGGCGGAGTTCGACTCATCTGATGACATGGAAGTGGATCTCACCCATCCTCTAGCAAGGCCAAGACAACCACACGAGATCCTCCTATCAGTTGGAGGATGGACCGCTGGAAGCCCCACCTGCTTCATCGAAACATACGATGTCAGGTGAGAAAAATATGTGAGATCTATCGACTTCTTGATTAGCCAGCTTAAATCAACGTATGTAAACGAATTGACTGTTACTTAAACTCAGCAAATAAATAAGGTAGATCACATAAAGTTATTTTATCTATAGCATTTGCCTAGCCGTATTAACCTTAAAAATATTTCTCGCCGGATCGTTTGCAATGCCTATTTGCTCATAATAGCATGACTCCCCTTCAAGCTTTCTATTTTGCAGTCAACCAAGCCGGAAAAAAAATGAAAACGGACAAATGAAATGTTGAACGTGCGTAATTTAAGTAACTTAGCCTCATTACGCATTCTTTCCACGTTTGCAATGCAAAGTTTTGGCGAAAACATCACAAATGTCATTTGAAACTGAACATGGTTTAATTGGTAAGCTCAAGGAAGTTGGATCAACACTGTGTGGCTCACATTTTTTTTTTGTGGTGGAGGATAAGAAAACGTGAAACTACTGAAAAGAAATTGTGACGAGTATCCATTGTAAACATTCCCAAGCAATTTACAGACTGAGAGTCGCACTATATTAAGTATTTTGCAGCAGGGGCGGAGCTTCCTATACAGTTGGTGGGGCGGCTGCCCCACCAACTTGCCATTTTGACCAACCAATAAGCGTTTTGCTTCACCAAGTTTAGCTGATCTGTACCTAGGACTTTGTTGCTTTGTAAATCAACCTTTTTCGTACTGAGGAGCTTTGAAATCTTTTGTGTAGCATAAAAAATTGTCTCTACTCGTATAATGTAAAACATTGATTCAGTGTAGCAATTTATTTGACTTAACAACCGGGTATTGTAGGTTTGACGACTTTTTGCTCCACTAACTTTTCTGGAAAAGCTCCACCCATGTTTTGCAGTGTTACAGAAGTCCTGCATTGCAGGGCAGACCGGTGGTTCCTCTCGATGGACGTGGATGTGCGGCCGAGAGCATACCATGGTCTTGAGGTGATCGACAACATGGTATACATGGTCGGAGGTTTCGATGGCAACGAGCACTTCAACTCAGTGCGATGCTATGACCCTGTGAAGAAGGTCTGGTCGGAACGCGCCTGCATGTATACGCCACGCTGCTATGTCAGCACATGCGTCCTGGGTTAGTAAAGTTGCACGCTTATTGTATAGGTTTTCAGGTGCTATCCTTTTGTGGAGGGTGCCCTTTCAGTCTAATGAGACCTTTTTGGAGCCAGACGGATGAAAGATATAAGAGGAAAACATCTGTCTGGGCGGCCACCCCTGGTGTACCGCTGGTGTCAAAACACAAGTCAACCGGTCGCTTCTTACCTCCAAGTATATCGGTTGTATTTGGCGACTGATTAAATAGGTGTTTTGGTAAATAGCTTACAAATATAATAACAATAATTCGCATTTTATATTATTTTTTTGAAATGCCGCAAAAATGTCGTTTTCGATAAAATCATCTAGGTATCAAGTAGGTAACCACAATTTCGACTCGCAAAATGGCAATGTCACATTGCAACATACCGAGGCAGTTGCTACCGCCTCTTTTAACTCGGCTCCATAACTGGGCCACATAACGACAAGCGGTAGTTGGCGTTCGAAAGATCGTCAAAAATCATCACGCATCAGACTAAAGCTACAGAAATCATCACCAAAAAAAAAAAATCATAGCAACAACTTCGCGGAATTAGCATTCGACAGGTATAGTTAACTCTTTTTTTTCGCCTGTGTCCTTAGGTTAAGCTTGCATTAACATCTAAGGTCATTGACCCCGGATGATTTCAAATTACTTAGCTCATCGGAATTATTGTTATCAAAGTGACATTTTTCGGCACTTCACGATGCATACCGATTAAAAATATGTATAAAGAGCATGTTGCAATATGAAAGGTGTATGCACGGCACATTATTTAATTTACTCGTGTGTGGCATTTGTTTCCTCAAAGTCTTTACAGCCATTATGAAGCTGTGCCGATTTTACAGTTGTACAGCGTTACGGTGTAAATATCTTCGCAAATTTTCAAACACTTTCCAGACTCCAAGATCTACGCGATGGGAGGCTACGACGGCCGGTCGCGGCTCAACAGCTGCGAACGGTACGACCCGGTGACCAACCAGTGGGAGATGCTGCCCAGCATGCACCGGCGCCGCTCGGACGCCTCCTCCGACAGCCTCGCCGGAAAGGTGACCTGACCTGACCTCACAGCGGAGTGACATGACCTTAGAGCGGGGTGACCTGACCTGACCTCACACAGCCGAGTGACATGACCTCACAGCGGGGTGACCTGACCTGACCTCACAGTGGGATGACCTGACCTAACAGCGGGGTGACCTGACCTGAGAGCGGGGTGACCTGATCTAACAGCGGGGTGACCGGACCTTAGAGCGGGGTGACCGGACCTTAGAGTGGGGTGACCGGAACTTAGAGCGGGGTGACCTGACCTGACCTCACACAGCCGAGTGACATGACCTTAGAGCGGGGTGACCTGACCTGACCTCACAGCGGAGTGACATGACCTTAGAGCGGGACGACCTGACCTCACAGCGGGGTGACCTGATCTGACAGCGGGGTGAACTGACCTCACAGCGGAGTGACATGACCTTAGAGCAGGATGACCTGACCTAAGAGCGGGGTGACCTGAGCCTCATATGAAAGAGGCTAATGATTGGAATGGAATCCCATTTATGTTGCCCTGACGCTGACTTGAGAACATAGATGATCATTGATCCGGCTCCACATATAGTGAACTGACCTGACGACAGGGGGTAACTGACCTGAGAACAGACGTGACCCAGCTCCATAGATGAATTGACCTGAAACAAAGACAGACACGGCCGTCATAAAGTGGTAAATAAAAACCAAAGTATCCCACACCTGAGAGCAAAGGTGGCCAATCCCCCTCCCCCAATTAATGCTGACCTGAGGCCTCTTGCCCCAAACTACCTAGCTAGGTAAAATCGAAAAACCGGTTTCAGAATAAGGTAATCTGACGGTGGTAAATTTGTTTGCAATAGCCCAATACATAATCCTACAGGTGCATGGTAAATTTCACACGCAAATTATCACACTTGAGTCTTGGATTGGGTACACGATGCAAAATAATCCAAGCATTGGTGCAAGAGGATTTTGGTGCAAGAGGCCTCTGACCTGACAACAATAGGGTAAGCGCCGCTGCCCCACATCGCATTGATAAATAGAAAGACCTGACCTGAAAGAGAGGCAGCTGCCCGACTACAGCAAGACAGCTTTTATCTACGTCGTTAAAGTTCTACCTTTGTTTCTATTTTTGCCCTATTTTCAACCATTTGTTGGGACGGGAGTGCCCGTTAATGCCCCTATGTCGCTGAAACGGTCCCCGCAGGCTTTGTTGGAATTTTTGGGGCCCTCAGTCCGAAGCAGGGGTGTTTGACCATACTGACCAAAGGTGAGGATAACTGGTCCTGAGGATTGAAAGAGGAATCGGATTTGCATATGTGGCCTGATAAGGTTAAAATAAAATGGGATTCGTAAGTCATTGTCAGAGTTATCAAGGTGAATTGGGAGATCGCGAACCAATCGATTTCGTTTAATGCAAAGATATTCATTTAATACAGCAAAGACAAGAGACCGATAGAGCTCGTTGATTGTTCATGACATCATTTCCCACCAGGAAATTCGTGAAAACTGCGATCCACCGTACAAAGCAGGCGTACTGAGGTGCTTGCATTTCATCATTGCTGTCTTTACCGCTGTGTTCACGTTGCCGGCAGGTGTACGTCGTCGGCGGCTTCGACGGCCAGGAGGTGCTCAACAGCGTCGAGGTGTTCGACCCGGCCGAGAACACGTGGAGCTTCGCCGTGGCCATGAACAGCCCCCGCAGCGGCGTCTCGCTGGTGGCCTACAACGACTCGCTGTACGCCCTCGGTGGCTTCGACGGCGCCCGACGCCTGCGCTCCGGTAGGTGGCGCGCCACGGGGCTGACCGAGCTGCAGGGGACGCTGGCAGCGCCGTACCGATCTCGATAACACTGGGCTCACGGGCTGGTTAGCAGACTCGACCCCAAATACCATCGTATCCGTCATTTCCATGCTCAGGACCAACTAATGATGTCAATTACGGAAAATCGGAATATCGATACCAAACCAAATACCAACCAAAACCGTGGAGAAATACCGAAACCAAACCAACTTGGGAACATGAGGAAAATACCAACTTTTTACCGATTTCTTAGCCTCTTGCAACATTAGCGAGGGTTCATGATACCAACAAAATATTTATTTATTTACCTATTTATTTATTTATTTATTTGATTTATCATCTACAGGCATAGAAACCCAATAATGGACGAAGTCTCATATAAAAACGCTGCACACATACAGCACCATAAGCACGCACATCACACACGTCTCACACACATACATACCAAACACATTAGGATTGAAATACCAAATACCGAGTTGGTATCGGTTTGGTATCGGTATACCAAAAAGTTGGTATCCGATTGACATCTCTAGGACCAACCCACCCTCATCCCTAATCCCGGGCCGGCGGTCATTCCCCTCCCCCCTCAGGCAGCTGGTGAGGGCAGCTCCAGTAGGTAGGAAGATTCTCTACAGGATGACCGAGCTAGGTGACCTCAGGCGCCTGGCTCACCGGGGCATCCCACTCCTAACAGAATGGGTTCAATACAAAACCCATTCTGTTATCTGTTAAAGAATGGGAAATCCTTATTTTCTTTAAGGATTTCTATCTATTTTGTAGCCATTTACATATTTTACCATCAGCTTGTATGCTGATGTCATGCACCTATTTCATTGCCTTCTATATTTCCACTTTTATAGGGTGTTCATTTTTAGAGTAGCCACAGTTTAGCACTACTGTGCAATTTAACATTGTATGTTTGATAGATAGGTGTCTGGCGTTGGTTTGTCTGTGCAATGTCTGTCAAAAGTGTTTTGCATTTATGTATTGACGTGGATACCATAAAATCCACTTTGTGGAGGATCCTAATACATTATCTATCTATCTATCTAAAACATTCCAGCGTTATGTTCACGCCTGTTATCTTCAGGCGAGCGCTTCACTCTGGGACACGGCGGAGGCTGGGTGAACGTGAGGAACATGTTCAGCCCGCGGAGCAACTTCGCCTCGACGGTGCTGGACGGCAGCATCTACGTCATCGGTGGATTCAACGGTAAGCAGCTGAGAATTAAAAAGTGACATCACGTTGACTAGCAGCTGAACTTTGTAACCGTGCTCAGTGGATTCCAGTACAATCCAGATGGTGTTTATGTAGAGATGAAAGTGGTCAGTTGATTATCAGTAGAATGTTTACCGGCGAAGTGCTCGCGTACCCGCTTTGAGCTTCATAAAATGCTTACTCCGTGATGTGTCATGGCACAAACACCCTTGGACAATGCCAATACTCGTAATATTGTTGAGGTAGGACGGACGGAGAATCCCTGAGCTCAGAGCTTAAACGATTGAGGTTTGACTTATAAAGCATTTTTTTTTTTGTATCGTACCTAATAATTGCATCGACATCATACTATACGTACGATCCGCTTTGTATGGATGCACATTCAACGTCGAACATGTTCAATCTTCACTCCCACCTGGATAAGGATTGAATTTACAGCAGTCATGTAACCCTACGGTCTCTGAGTTCTCCCCGTCCGTTCGACAGGCTCCACCACCATCCCGGACGTGGAGTGCTACGACGAGCAGCGCGACCAGTGGGAGGACGTGACCAGCATGAACGTCAACCGGTCGGCGCTGTCGGCCTGCGTGCTGCGCGGACTCGTCAACGGCAGGGAGTACTCGTTCCTCTCCCGGCTGCAGCAGCAGCAGCAACAGCAGCAGATCGTCCAGCAGCAGCAGAGCGCCGCCAGCGCGCAGCCGACGGAGGTGCCGCCGCAGTCGACGCCGTCGTCGCAGCCGGCGCCGACGGCGGCCGCAACCGTGCGCAGCTCACGGCGCAGAAACTGAGACGTGACGTGACGCGATCTGTGACGTGACGTGGCTCACAGTGACGTGACTGGCCTGTGATAGACTGTGGCCGGCCGGGGCCGCCGCGGCCGCCCCGGCGCGGGACGCTCGGCAGAATGGTGACCGCCGGGTGCCAGCCAGCGGCCACTCGGCGGGGGGCTGTGTGTGATCGGGTGACATGAATGGAGCGAAACAGCGAGAATGGCAAACGGAATGGAATGACTGAGAGACTGACACAGAGGCCAACTAAATCGCCAGTAGCAAACTGGAAGGGATCGGTAGGTAACCCAACAAAAGGCTTCGATAGAAACCATGCTGATAAAGCGCAGCTCAGTTCTGAACCTGGGAAAGCATGACTGTTCAAAAAGCTTCGCTAAAAGCTCAACCTAATCAGCTTAAGTTTCGGGAGATCGGAGTCAAATTAACATCCCACTCATCCTCCAGATGTCAGCTGAAACGCATGAGGCCCCGACTCCTCGAATGGATGTTCTTTTCGAATCTTGCGTCAAGAGCATGTTAACGTTTCACTTTCTGCTTGTAAAACGGTCAGCTGTTACAAAAAGTATATCTATACTCGATATGTTTGGGCTACTCCAATCATGACATTTGACGATCAACTGTTTCCTAATCATGCTTGATATTTGTTAATTTGCGAACTTATATTTTGTTTATATATTATGGGTGTTTGTTTCTTATCGATTCATACCAAAACACCAAAATTATCAAGTGTTCGTGATTCTTGTTTTCATTACTTGTTGCATGGTCGAATGTAGACAAAGGGGTGATACATGAGCAACGGTATATCTCTGACGATGGCTTGAGTGCTGTATTGCCCTTTTATAACCATTTTTTGAGGATTCCACTAGTTATTTTGCTTAATAAAACCATTTGTTTCTGATGGCATGTTTAAGCATGGTAGATATTTTGGTATGTGCGTCAAAAAGCACGAAACAAAAGAGAAAACAATTTGGGTGCAATTTACATGACATTACCAGATCGCAATAATCCTGGCAACTGGATTCTGGGTTATCAAATGGAAAAGTACGTCGCGAGGATACTACAGTCGCGAGATCGGCGGTCAAGGTTCAGCCGCTGAACTGCCAGCTCGGCTGGTGACTGGATCGTTTATAAGTTCTTGTATTGAATGACGGACCCTTAACCATGTGAGTTCATTGAATGTGGCTCTCGACGAGGCATAAGAAGTTAGTCGTCAATCATCACAAACAAGATGTTCTGAACATTTCGAAAAGATGTAAGACTGACGGAACCGTTTAACTTTATTAATGGATCAAATATGAGAGCTTCTTTGCTATGGTGACGATAAAAACAAACCTGGGGCTCAGAACCTACAGCCACGGAATATATAGTCTACGACAGACTATATATTGTCGTAGATTATATATTCCGTGCTACAGCTAAGAAATGAAAAACAGCAAAAAGCAAGCAAAAATTGCACGAAGGTCAACAATGTTCTAACATTGTGATTGTACCAAATCGTGACTCTGTGACCATTTATTTTTGGCGAAGTTATTAAAAAAACAGACCCTTTCTTAGGGCCTTTGACGTGACCTCAGTAGTCCCTGATCGACCTGAGGCCTTGAAATTCGACATCAGTCACTGTAACCACACTATGCTCGTTTTTTTTGTAATTCTAGCAGAGGCGAAACACAGGGTGTCTCCCTCTCCCCTTCACTCAGCCTCGTATGGAAAAACGATAGGCAAGACGAGGGTTACATTTTGATGTTAGATATGGGTTTGTATTTAAATTGTTCGAAATTTCAATAATATCGTCATTTCGGAGACAGAATATGGATAACCAACAAGCTCATAAATAAAAAAAGCACCTGAAAGTTGTTTGCGTGTGCAAATAAAACCGTGGCGTGCAGCGCCACAAAACCTGATATAGCTCATGATACATCGACTTCGCATCGCGTGGTGAAATTTTGACCCCAGGTCACATAAGGCCAGGTCACCCAGGTCACGTTAAGTGACCACGTTTCTAAAAGCTGTGTGATACTGTCATTCCTGCACTTACATCCTAGGAGCTGAAACTCGGGCAGTTGCACGAGGGAATCAGTACCAACAAGTTTTCTTATCTCGGAATTTTGATATCGGTGACCTAAGGTTAGGTCAGTTTTTGCGACCTCCCATTGTAGTCGATAGGAGAAAATTAAGATGCTCTTCTTTTTGAGCGAAAACACTCAACATCGGATATAAACATGACACACGAAACGGAAAAATCGCACCTGTGTGAACCCCCTTTATGCTCCTGAGGTCATCTCAGGTCATGAAACGTCTCAAACTTTTTTTTTTTTACAATAACTTTAGGTGGGAGCATGCCAGAACGCTGAAAACACATGGATG